TGCCAGACACCATCAACGGAGTCGGTACAGCAACGCTGTTCGTGGATCGTGTTTTCCGTCAACACGGACTTCCAGAGTCGATTGTATCTAATAGAGCCCCCCGTTTCACGGGAAACGTTTGGTCGACTAACTTCAAGATTCTAGGCACCAAGCTGAATATATCAACAGCGGATTATCCGCAGACTGGATGGTCGAACCAAAAGGCTGAATCGTGACATCGTAGACATTCTTCGCAGCGTCTGCGCTGAGCGCTGGAGCGCCATGTTGCCACCTGTAGATTTTGCACTGAACAATGAAGTGCATTCGTCTACCAGCTACACGCCGTTCTACGTGAACGGGCTGATTCCCCCTCGCGTCCCGCTGACGCCGCCATCCCATGGCGCAGTGCTTGGTGGGGGAGGAAAAACCGAACGGCTAGCTGATGTCAGCCCCCTCACCATCCGCAAAAAATTGGATGGCTGCTTGTCTACCAGACTGAGTGTCCTAGGAAACATTCACAATGCGATGGCTGAAAGCCAAGACCTGCAAAAGAATATGCAGATTAAATGGAAGAGGCAAAGTGGAAAGCTTTAGGGTCGAAGACCTGGTTTTACTAAATTCTAAAACCTGCCTACACATGCGGCCTCTGCTGTCTTCAGGACAAGATTTGTCCACGGTTCATCGGACCGTTAAAGGTTGTGGCCAAGCGGGGCCTAGCGTATACGTTGAACCTTCCCAAACGGATGATCGCCCACCCGGTGTTTTACGTGGGCTTGCTCAAACCATACCGGGATCCGGCGCAAATGAACGCGGAAGGGTTGACGCTGGAGCGGATCCCACAGGCCCTCGGCCACCCAGAAGTTGAACCAGCAACTGGTTTTGAGCACGGAGTGCAACAACCTCCATTTATAATGGTATTAAGCGCTCCACCGTCGCATTCAGCGACGCAATCGCCTGCTCCACGGCTAGGAGTTGCTCCGACAGAGCGCGATAGCCCTCAAGGCGAGGCAACCGGCGCACGACATGCTTTAAATCGTCAAGAGCGTCCACACAGCGATATGCTTCTTCAGCATGACGCTCAGCGGAGCCCCGATCACAAAGGACCTCGTCCTTAAGAGCTCAAAGAGCATCACGAGTCACCGGTCGGCGGTCGATCCGGTCGTCACTGCCCGCCACCGACACTTCTCGATGAGAACGGTGACGTCAACTATCACGTGGAACGTCTAGTGAGAAGACATCGTCACCAGGGTCAAACCCAATATCTGGTGAAGTGGCGAGGATATCCCGACTCGGAAAACTCGTGGGAGTTTGAGGCACCACTTTGGCAAGATGGCCCAGTCAATGTAGGCGATTTTGATCGAAAAGATCAAGACATCCTGCGTCATCAGACGCCCCGCGACCCCCGGCAATAGCCAGGGAAGTAGACGGGTCATGAGCTGAGCTCAAGCAGTGGCCCTGAGCTCTTGTAGTCGAAGACACAGAGTTCGCGGGAGCATTAGGGGTGGTTTACTCATACGTCGCAGGGCGACAATCCGAAGGAAGTCGATGGCGTGCCTCGATCTTGGTGAACTCAAAGCGGAGGTGTCGCTCCACACGCACACCTACTTCCTTGTGGCTCAACGGCAGGTTATGCAGCGAGGAAAGTTTTCGGTGCCGTTGCATCCATCGCTCAAAGAGCGCTTCGTCATCTGTAGTGCTTTCGCCAGAGGCAAGCACTACAGGTATTGTCCGCATTGCGGGTACACGAGAGCCACCTCGTTGAGCACTCAGACGAGTGCGATAATCGCTTAAGGGAATTTCTTGTGGGACCAAGAAGAGTTTTCCGTGTGGCAAGTTCATCATCCGTTCTAGCCGGGGTCCGTGTTACCGCGTCCTTCGCTTCCACAGCGGGATACACTGGGCGGAAGCCATAGTCCACACGAGGGTCAATGACTGACCGTGGATGGTCGCGCTATAGAGCCGCCTTATGGGCAGCTTCAAGCTGCCGCCTCTCTGCCCCGACGATGTCATTGGTGATTACACGACGTTCCTCGGCTTACGAGAAGTCAGGGAACGGGCATGGGGTCCGCAATGCGCGAGCAGGGCTCGTATCATGCCGCTGGCGCAGCTCGCCTTCCTCGTCATCTCATGCGGGATAAGGAGTGTCAGACTCGTAGTCGACCACCTCCACATCCTCAACGAGGTCACTCGTCATTGATAGCGTGCGCAAAGCGCGACGCTCGTGCTCATCGAGCCTAGGATGTACATCCCCCGTTGCCGCGGACGCACTGTCCGACATCATATCGCGTGCGGGAGACGAAGTTGGGCTCTGCCTGTGCTCGGTGTCAGAACCAGCGAGACTTGATGGTTTAGTGTCGTGGACACATGGCTCATTAAGCAAGGAAGTTCTTAAATTCCAACAAATTAAGTTGCAGTGTCTAGCGGACACGCCAGCCTCGTTGAGGCGATAATCGATTGGAACTGTAAATGTTCTCAATCTTAATGGGGGAAAGTGTAACAGGGTTACACGTATCTGTGTTCACACGAGATAGGTATGATGTGATTACACCCAAACAAGAAC